AGAAGAATGTGTTTTGCTGGCTTAAAACGGCCTCTCGTTATTGCGAACACTAAGTCTTGGGCAACAGAGCGCTTGAGCCATGTCATCCTGTCCGTGAGGGGTGAATCACTGCCACTAAATAGATGGTGCAGGAACGTGTCAACAACCTCAGGAACTTCAGGCTTCAGACATTTGCAGACCATTCTTGCTGGTCACTAAAGTGGTCTTTGACTGATTGGCGCACCTTTGTAGCCATGCGAGCAACCTCTTTGACGCCTACTTCTCTAGGACAATGTCTCAACAGAGTAACTTCTTCCTCCAGGTTAAAGCAAATCAGGGTAAGTTCATCTCTTGTAAGGTTGTCTGGATAAGCCACTACCTTGTTGGATCCTGTTTGAATCATGTGTAATGTGTCTTTAAACTCGTTTTCTAACTTTCGCCTGAGGTGTTTGCTAGTCGATGGCTTTAATTCCTCGATTCCGCTATCTAACTTAAATGCCTTAAGTCTCTCGTTAAATTTTGAAAGCTCTATGATACTCTTATTGACAAGAATATCATTTCTGATATAACTGAACAATTCGACTAAGGCCGCCGCCTCAGCATTACCATTGTATTTTCATTTTGTTTGGAAACTTCAGCACTGGTGCTACTGACATTCGTGTACTGTCGACAACAAGAGTGGTGGTAATGAGCCTCAGCCGCTGTTAGTTCACGGGAAAGGAGAGCTAATACACCTGAATCCATCTTGAGCTCTGCCGAATTTCTCACTGATATATCTGTTCTAAGCTGTCTAGCTTGTGTTAAGCTCTCTCTGGTCTTTGAACCCTTCTTGTATTTGTCTTTCTTTTCGCAAAACATGCAGATCTTTTCATAAACCCTCGAGGTACTCGGCTGACCTCTTGTGGATGCCCTTCGCTGGCCATCGCCATCAGTAGTCAGCTCCGTATCTTTCTTACTCTCCTTTTTTTCATCAGAAATGATTTTTTTCTTGATCTCTTTTCATAGTGAAAATGCTTCTACACTTTCTATGATAATAGACTTCAGGAATTTCATCTGGTGAATTTACCTGTATTCCAAGAATATCCTCGTGATGTCTCAATTCTGCAGCCCGTCTCAGTGTTCTCCATGATTCCACAGAATTCGGGCTTATGAGCGCTCCGTCATCGTCACTACAATGAATCATGCAACATATTTCCCTTCTTGCACGATTCTTTGGAATTTCTAAGTCCTCAGACATGCCTGATAGACTGTCGAACTCTTTTGAAATGTAATAGAATCCACTTCTAGTCAAGCTGTAAACACCGCTTACGTGAAACAAGATGGCGGCTACCCTGGTACCAGTCCTTACGGGCATACCCTAGTACCAGTCTCCCCGACCATACCACTACGGGAGAAATAATTAAAACAAAAATGCCAACACTTTTGGTGTGAAAATATGCTTTATTTTTATCATTTTTTTCAAGACACCAACTTACCTACCTTTCCTTTTTACCGAAAAAAATAGCGTAAAGATAAATAGTGAAAACGCTACGGAGCAATTTCCCACAGGATATTCAACTTGAACCAATCTCGTCCAGAAATTATTCCAGACTTAAAATTCGGTTAATAAAAGTGAAAAGCTACTTAGTACACTTTGTCAGCAAGTTTTTTTTATAATTTTTATCTCTCTACATAAAATAGATCTTTTAGTTATATGTAATGGAAGAGTTTTTACTATGGTAGCGTGACATATGTCACGCTTCGTACGTGCAAAAACCGCACATTGTTTTCGCAAAGGTAAAACTCTAACGGGAAATAAACTTGCTGTATATCTTGATTTTCAATTTTATTTGGCTTTCATTAAGAACAGACAAGTCTACGGTGGTAAAAAATGAGATTTCTCAATGAGCAAAAAATAGGCCCTCGATTCTCATTTTGCTACGCGCGTTACATTCAAGGTCACGTGACAGCCTTAAGCTACCAGAACAGACTTGCTATCATATATTTTTGGATTCTACTCATGATAAGCTTTATTTTGATATATGATAGCCTTTGCCACCTCAAGTGGTACCGATCCGCCATTTTTAGCCACTTGGCTCGATCATGGACTAGTGGTAGTAATTGTCAAAAGAAACATATTTACTGAATCATGTTCATCCTAGGCTGTCTCGGTTAAATTGGGTGTTGTTGAGAAAATGGCAAATGGTCAATCCGAAAAGAAACTATTTTTGCTTACCATTTGCACAAAGCGTCCGTTAACGAACCAGTTTCTCCGTATAATTGGTAAACAACCGTTATCTTTTTGAAATCCATATTTTGGATTACAGAGTTTTGACCAATACAGGTTACTTACGCTTACTACAGTTGAAGCCATCTCCATGGTAACCAGCCTTGCACCGACATTGATATGAACCTTCGGTATTGGCACAGTCAGCATACTGGCTGCACTCAAATTGGGATGGCTGGCATTCGTCTCTATCTGAAAATAGTGTGTAAGTTAAAGACACCTTACTACGCGGTCTTACTATGAAACGTGAAAGAGGTCAGATAACATTACACATTAGTTTTCATATTAGTGAGATGATTTTAGCACGTAATGTTACTTTG